CGCGATTTTGGGGCTCATTTACCACATTGTTGATTATTTTGAGAGCTTTTTGAAGGAAATTAAAGAGGGATTCTAGGGGAACCGATTGGAGGTAAGATTTTAGAACTTAAAACTCGTTTCTATTGTGAAATCTATCTAGAAAATCATGGAACTTAAGCTAAAAATAGAAGGACTAAGGCTTGGGATTTTTTGGACTTTTGATTTGGGATTTGAAGGACCATTTGAGGTCGGATTTGAGAACTTTTGATATGTATGAACTCGTGGAAGGATAAGGAGCCTGTTGATGTAAAAATTTCTGAGTTTCGAGAAGTGGGCGGCCCGGGGCTCGGGTTTTGGTAATTTCGGGATTTGTGTCCGTTATTGATTGTTTTCGCTTGGGCTTTGTTCCCTTAGCATATTGTGATGTATTCGTTCTGATTTTGGATAGATTCGACGCGTGTGGAGGCCGATTTGAGAGGCAAGGGCGTCGCAAGCTAGAGATTTCGCCGGGAAGAGGTGAGTAATGATTGTAAATAATGTTCTGAGGGTTTGAAACCCCGGATTGCACATCGTAGTGCTATATTGAGGTGAGACACGCGCTTGATGATGAGCGTGGGGTCGTTTACTATTGGGGATTGTGACTTGGTCCGTCCCGATTGATGATTTTACCGCATATTTGACTGAAACTTATTTGTTATCATCATGATTTGGACTGATTGTCATATTTGGGCTTTGTGCCAACTAATTGAACCCTTCGGGGATTTTTATCACTATTTCCTCACTGTATTGACTTATTACTTGAACTCAGTCATGCTGTTTTCCACTGTTTTACAACTCAGCCACTTTTACTCAGTTTGAGACTTAAATGATATTTCTAAATGATGTTTTGGGCTGAGAATTACTGTTTTACTATTGCCCGGGGGGCTTGTGATGATTATCGGACTGAGTGTGGCTGAGGGCCAGATATGAGGATACACTGAGTGATATGAGGCCTAGGGCCTGAGATACATATATACGCCACGAGGTGGCTTGAGTGATATGAGGCCGAGGGCCTAGATTTGATGCCACGAGATGGCTTGATATTGCGCTTGGGCCGTAAGGGGCCCCTCCGGAGTCTGCACACCCCCAGTGAGCACGGGTACCCATTGTGATCACAGAGTGAGCCCGAGGGGCTGATATTGTTCTTAGAGTGAGCCCGAGGGGCTGGTACTGTTCTATGTGTTTACTTTATTTCAATTGTCTGCCATTATCTGTTGTTTGTGTTACTTTATGTGATATATTCCTGATTGCCTGACATTATCTGTTAATGGAATGTTGTGCCCGAGGGGCAGATTTCTGTGCTTATCTGTACTAGTTGTTTTGCATTCATTTGCATAACTGTTGAAAAAGTCATTTTCAAAAGAGGTTTAAACTGAGCTAAGATGTTTCTAAAGATTTCACAGCTTCACTGTTTTTTCGCAAAAGGTTTTACACTGCTTCTATACATCATGTTGATTTGTTTTACGTGATTTCTTACTGCTCAATCGTTATTTACCTTTATTACTCATTGAGTCGGAGTACTCACTTTACTTCCTGCACCTTGTGTGCAGATGCAGGTATTTATACACCCGGTAGTGGGTTTTGGCTGATCGGAGGCAGAGTTATCGGAGTTTAGCGAGGTGGCTGCCAACGTTCGCAGCACCGTTTTTCTCCCTTTTCATTCATTAGTCCTATTCTGTATATTTCAGACCTTGTAGTTGTATTCATATTCTAATAGATGCTCGTGACTTGTGACACCCCGGTTTGGGCTGTGTCGTGTTGTACTTCCGCTAATTATATCATTTGATCACATTTAAACTGCTTATGAACTGTTTAATCGATTTAATAAGATGAATTAGGTTTAGTTGGCTGGCCTTGTCTTCACGAGAGGCGCCATCACGACCGGATCGGGGATTGGGTCGTGACATGGTATAACTAAATCCCTTGATTGAAGGCACAAATAATGGATTGGGAGCCTTTTTAAGGTGGATTGTATATATTTTGTAAACAAAACTTGTTTATACTGGGTAATTAACTAAACAAGGATATTTAGGGTAATAAAGATTCCAATAAAGTATAGGAATGAAAAAAACCATATATTTTTCAAATGGCTAAATTAGTAAATACGGAAAGTGTTATTTTTCAAGGAAAAAAATCCCAAAAAAGGGCTATTCTTGCAAAATAGCCGTTGGACAATGGTCAAAATGGCAGTTGACCATTGCCAATGGTCAACTATATTAAAAAATTAAAATGCCATCGAACCGGTTCGGTCTGATTAATCGGTTCGAACTTGACTTGATATTTGCTGGTTCTGAATGGTCCAGTTAACCGGTACTTAAATCCTACACGGCACAATCCCTTACCCCTTCCAGCCCGGCTCATTACCTACCGGTCCGGTCTAAAACCGGTTTAGGCTGGTCCGGAACCGGGTCAACCCGGTCCGTTTGACACCCTTAGTCAACAACAATAACAACAACTACCCAGTAAAATCCCACAAAGTGGGGTCTGGGGAGGGTAATGTGTACGCAGACCTTACCCCTGCCCCGATAGGGCAGAGAGTCTGTTTCCGATAAACCTTCGGCTCAGAAGAAAAAAAAAAAGAAGAAAAGAGAATTCATTAGTAACTCTAGTAGAAACCGTAATAGTAACAGAAGCATAAAAACCAAACGATGAATGCAATAACAGTGACCAGAGTCTAAGGCCCGGGGCTAGGATAAACAGCAAGAATAGTGTGGGTTCAACATAAACTGCAAGTCATCTAAGATCAGCCCTAATACAACCCCGACTCACCCCCGGTATGAAGTAAGGAAAGCTCTACTACCCCTATCCTACAACTCTAATGCTTGACCTCCAGGCTTTCCTATCAAGGGTCATGTCCTCGAAAATCTGCAGTCGTACCATGTCCTGCCTGATCACCTCTCCCCAATTCTTCTTAGGTCTCCCTCTACCTCTTCTCGTACCCACCACGACCAACTGCTCACACCTCCTCACCGGTGCATCAAGGCTTCTCCTCTGCACGTGCCCGAACCATTTGAGCCTCGCTTCCCGCATCTTGTCATCCACAGGGGCGACGCCCACCTTCTTCCGAATGTCTTCATTTCTAATCTTGTCTATCCTAGTGTACCCGCACATCCACCTCAGCATCCGCATTTCTACTACTTTCATCCTCTGGACATGGGAGTTCTTAACCGGCCAACACTCTGCCCCATATAACATGGCCGGTCTGACCACAGCTCTATAAAACTTACCTTTGAGTATCGGTGGCACTTTCTTGTCACACAAGACTCCAGATGCAAGCCTCCATTTCATCCAGCCTGCCCATATGCGGTGAGTGACGTCCTCGTCAATCTCTCTGTCCCCCTGAATCATCGACCCAAGGTACTTGAAGCTATCTCTCTTGGGGATGACCTGTGACCCCAGCCTCACGTCCCTGCCTACTTCCCCCGACTTAGCGCTAAACTTGCACTCCAGGTACTCTGTTTTAGACCTGCTCAATTTGAAACCCTTAGACTCGAGAGTCTGTCTCCAAACCTCCAATCTCTCGTTAACACCGGCCCTCGTCTCGTCAATTAGAACTGTCATCAGCAAATAACATACACCATGACACCTCCCCTTGAATATGGGTTTGACACCCTTAGTCATGGGGAGAAATTTAAAAATAGCCAGATTTACAACTGGTCGTTCAAAAATAGCCCAATTTCAAAAGTAATCGAAATTTAGCCATTTTCATGTAAAGATAAATCTGAGCGAAAACATTATTCAAAACCCGGAAAATACACCAGTATATTATACTGCAGTTCTAGCATAAGTATGCTTGAACTCCAGCATATTATACTGGAGATACAGGATAAGTATGTTGGAACTCCAGCATAATATGATGGAGTTCCAGCATAATATACTGGAGTTCCAGCAAGTATAATATACTGGAGTTTGGAGCACTGGTGCTCCGTCTCCAGTATATTATACTGGAGTCAACAAAGTATACCGGTCCAGCATAATATGCTGGAGTTCATATACGGGTGCATCGAACTCCAGTATATTATGTTGGACCGATCTCTGTTGCAGCAAAATAGTGACTATTTTTCATTGACTTCGTAAACGCTGGCTATTTTTGAATGACCAGTCCGAAAACTGGCTATACCGTGCAATTTTTACATAGTCATGTATATACATGTGATATTGTTACTTATTTTGATTTATGAGTTAAAAATAAATAATTAAATAATAAGTCCTATAAAAAAGAAGTAAAACTTTATTTTAACTGTCACCAAATCATTCCGATCTCCCAAAACAACAGAATGATATGTAGCAAAATCCTTGTCAACTCTTACAACTCTTTGAGCAGAACAGTCATGTCATTTGACACTTCTGAAGAGAGCCTCCATAGTCAAACGCTGATTCGCGGTGAAGCTCTTCGAGTGGATGACGCTCTGATACTAGCACAAATTCTTCAACACATACCAAATAAAAGAAAGGAAGCGATTATATCTACGAATCGCTCTGGTAAAGTAAGACACCATCTTCCCTCCCAACTCAAAAGTTAAAACACATAAAGTACTGGAATTGATTTTTAATACTCCCCCGAGACATCTAGCGCGGAACAAAGTGCATTTTTGTTTGCTGGAGGAATGATATCGTAGCCCTCCTCAATGGGACTCTTTGTGCTTGCTACTTCTGAACATCTTTTGTTGAGTGGAAGTTAATAGGAAAAAGAAAAGGAGGTGAAGGGCAGATAATTAGAAATTGTAGACTTGATCATGTAACATGTGCCCGCAGCTGAAAATGATCAAATAAAAGAATGATGATGTATAGAAGCACTTGTTTGGAAAGGTTGAAGAAGATGTATTTTATGTGCAGAAACGATGAATCATATTAGAGAAACACAAGTGTTTGTAGGGTTCAACTTTTGATATGGATGAACCGAAACCATTCATCAAACTAATAATATCCTCCTTCAAAAGAACTGGAACTGGAGCTTTGGTATCTGCACTTGGAAGATAATCTAAAAGGGAAAAGTAGGTCGACAAAAATTGTACAAGGAAACTTCCCCCATGAAAAGTGGTTGCAATGCAGTAAACAGCACATATGTGTAATGACAATTAAAAATGTAATGAATACAGGTGTTGAGAAAAAAAAAATTAATAAACATTGAATCGGTTGAGATTATACTTGTGTTATCTATGTAATTGCCTCCGTGCATTCTCCACATTCGATGGCAGCACATAAAGCCTTCCAGATGGGCGCTAACATCTTCACTGGCGGACGCAATTCCTGGAGATTATATTTGAATACAGCAGATTGTGTAAGCAAGAGAAAACAAACTAATATTCTCTACCAAGTCCTGTGCGTTGAGTATAAGTCCTCCATTAGTTTGTTCTACTCTTAAATTACAAAGAAAAGTAAACAGGTTTAGAAACTACTCAGGGAATTTTCATTTTGAAATGTTAAATATAATTTATTACCAAGGTACAAGTATTAAGGTCGCCATGGATTTGTAAAATATATACAGTAGGGAACATAAATTTCACCTTGAAAACTAACATAAGTTCTTCTTCCCCTCGAATAATCAAAGACAGACTCCAATAACAGGTAACTGGTGTGACACATTCAGTCAGCACTGGTTTCAAAATCCTGCTAATGGGGACAAACTGGCGAACTGTTTTCCCACTGTAATACAAAGAGCTGAATCAGAATTTTATTTAGAAAAAAAATAACAAAAAGAGGACTACTTAAAAGATTCTCAGATCAGATACAAAAAGTTTAACAATAGTCTCATGGTTTGATGGACAATGTGTCATCAAAATATATTTAAGTTGTTCTAAAAAATTAATCACTTTTCACTTGTACTCGTAAAAGACTTAGCTGTCCAATCTCATGCAGGAAAATTACTTGAGCAGCGCACGCAGTGATGGGTATGCACAGAACAAAAATACTACCCTAAATACTTTTGCTGGTTTCCATAATGGTAGCTGCCTCATCTCAGGAAAGAGATTCAGAAACAAGTAGCTGTATGCACAACAATCTTTTAAAAAGCAGACACAAAATGATAGATCCATGCCCAGAATATCTGACAAGCTATATGATTTTAAAAGCATCTTTTAGACCCAGTATAGAACAATTATAATGTACAACTAACTTAAGCAAATAGCAAAGCATTCACCTCTACAACAGAAGCAGTAAGTACCTTCCGTACTGAGTCTCAAGTTGAACTCCAAAAGCAGGCAGAATTAGAACAGACTCTGTAATATGCAAAAACAATCAGCATGAAAGATATGTCAATTAATTCCAACTGATACTAGTGTCTTCTACTATTCTCCTTCTACATACGGAAAGAAGTAAAAAACAATAGATCTTCCACAAAATAAGTGAGCATTATCTTAAGAGAATAGTGCTTCGTTACTTCAATGAAGTTAAGAATGCGTTGTACATGAACTGCTATGTGATATGAATATTCCTAACAAAGTGAAATGCCAGTTTATAGAATGGGTATGACACCGGTAACGTTATATGAACGTGATGCATCGAACATCTATGGCCCAACATATCCACAAGATGAGCACCACGGAAATACGGATTTTAAGATAGATGCGCGATGGTAGAAGATCGAATAAGATGAGAAATGGTTGCATTAAATAAAGAATGCAAATCGCAAAGATAAATAATAAAATGACAGAAGTTCGTTTGAGATGATTTGACCATGTCCTACGTCAACCTCTAAATGCACCTTTCTATTGGTGATACTATGTCGCCTTAAGGTGCTATAAGGGATATAAAGGACAAGGTAGATCTATAATTACATTGAGGGAAATTATCTCAAAGACTTACAATCTCTAGGAACAAATTCGAACTTAACTAAGAATATAACACAATAGAAGCAATGGATTCATATAGGTGATACCAACAACTTGAGATCAAGGTTTACTTGTTGTGTTTGCACTTATGTTATTTTCCGGGAAGAGGTAAGGGTGATTCACAAAACCTCTAGTTTCAAGAAAACCTCTAACTTGCCTCAAAAGACAATTCTCTTACCAGATTTTAATGAAATAGTCTCGAATAGATCAAATATATAAAGGAAAAAGGTTCAAAAATGCCCTTGTGGTTTGCCAAATGGTCTACTTTTGGCCTCTGTTTAAAGTTGGGGTAACTATGTCATCGCCGTTACAAAACTGGCACACATTTGCGCTTCTTTTCCAACTCAGCGTACAACACCATTACAGATGTTGGATCGTCTTATTTCCAGTAACATTTCCTTTTAGTATGGAATATCCATGGTCAACAAGAAATAGCCAACTGACTTGTTGAAGCTTGCAACAAGCAAGAACTGAAATACACACACACATTTAAATGTACTATTTTTTATAAGCACATTTAGATGTACATATTTGTATACATACACACATGTCGGTATTATATTTCCACAGGCCCCAAAGGGGTGCCGCTGGAAACCAAGGTTCAAATCATAACAGAGGTAACACGCATTGGATAAGTAAAAACAAGAAGCTGAAATATTGTTCAGATAATCCTCAAGCACCAGGGAAATGCAATATGATCCCGAGATCGCCAGACAATGATTATCGAACTTTAGTCGATTGTTTACAAGAAACTAGAATATTATAGCTACAATCAGTAGAGCAAGTCTGCCCTATCGGGGTAGGGGTAAGGTCTGCGTACACATTACCCTCCCCAGACCCCACTTTGTGGGATTTTACTGGGTAGTTGTTGTTGTTGTTGTTGTATTCAGTAGAGCAAATATTACTTTTGTATTTCTGTGGTACCATATAGCAATCTACGTTATGCATGGCATTTGTTAGGTTTGAGCCTGATTAAACTTAAAACATAATGTAAAACCACTACCATATTGAAAATTTTGTCAAGTACTATTACCTTCTGTAATAAATAATGCTTCCTTTATAGAAAGCAATTGTAAGGTGAATGGTTTCTTATCCAAGGAACAACTGAAGTTACTGATTGAGAGGTATATGAAATATGAAATGAGGTTCTGGTCTCAGATTTTGACCATCTCGCACAATGTGCATCAATACAAAGCGCAATGCCAGTGACTGCCCACTGAAGAAACTTCATATCATCCCATGTAGCTTATATTATATTCTGATTTAGCTCAAGAAAGAATGGCAATGATTCAATCTGGAAAACGCACATTATAAGCTGCACATAAAGTAAAGTCAAAGAAGTTAAAACGTGCTCACCTTTCTTAACTGGCTTCTTTAGAAATAACCTAATGAGCAATGCCATGATAACTAAGCTCCAAATATGCAGAGTATCTAGCTTTCCCTGCATTTTATTAAAAGCTTCACCGAGTTAAACATAATACTTTTACCACAAATTAGGTATCTACATAATTAAAGCAAACATATGGTTATTTAACAGCATGAAATGACAAGTGCTTAAAAAGCGCAAACTACATACTATCGTTACTAAAGCTGCTGCGAATAGAAACTGAATCATTATGTCGACATGTCTGCTCCCTCTGATTCCCTAATGATTTGGGTGCCTGGTTTAGACTCACATCCACATTTATATCCTTGGTCTTGTCCCCCCCCCCCAACAACAACAAAAAAAACTACTGAGGATAAAAAAGTATTACTACCCTCACACCCAAGGATAAAAAAAAAAACAAGTTGATTTCTTCTCATCGGCCAAAGCCTTGATGGGCAGATTTACAAAGTACCTGTACGGGTAGAAGGTAGAAGGTAGCAGGTACCTAATGAAATAGTTGAGGTGCATACGAGATAGCTCAAATACCATTTCCCTCTTAATTATAGACGGAAAACTCCTAATTGCAATTTTCAAGCTAGATTATAAGTTCTTCAGAGCTAGCAAGACAACCAACATAAATTNTAAGGTTTGTGATTATTACACTTCCATAGTATGACACTTAGAGATTTTCTAATTTATCTTCAAAGACGAATTATATAGTAATGAAATGAATTGACCTTTGGAAAAAAAAAATGAAATGGGCTCGAATAGACAGAGACATATTAGTTTGAGATTGAGAAGCAGCTGATTGATAGTGCGAAGTGAATAATGTTTTAAAAAAAGGGGGGGTATAAATTGGAGGTATAATATTACCTGGCGGAATAAGAGGAAGGAGGGATAGGCAAAAAGGAGAAGAGTAAAGAGGCATAAATTGGAACCCTTTTCTCTACTCCTTCGAACCACAATATGGTGGGCGTCAATGGCTTCAGGTGGGCCTTTACCCACTTCGTGTACGTATGTGTATTTCCCTTCTGCTATGGCCAATGCCTCCTCCGCCATACCACTCTCACTGTTACTCCGGCATCAACGATTTGGGAGATTTGATCAGAACAAAACGGGTCGATCCGAACCCATCACAAAACCTTATTATGGTGTTATAAGCTACTACTACTAGTAATATATCTTACTTTTTTTTTCTTTTGTTATAAGTAGTATTTTATTTATGGTGAATGTCTATATTTAGAGAGGGCTAAGTCACTCTTCCCCTATAAATAAAAGGGTTTTATTCCATTGTAATTCATTTCAAAATAATAAAAATTCCCTCTCCCTACTTTTCTCTACAATATTCTTCTTCTTTTATTGTTTTATAACACGTTATCGGCACGAGACTCTAACCAAATAAGTAGAAGCTTTGGGATTGAGCATAATGATTATCAATTGTTCCATGAACTTCCTTCATGATTAAATTCTGGATTTAAAGTATGTATTTTACCGTATTTTTCTCTTTTATTCTATAATTTGATTTTAAATACAAGCAAAGACAATAAAATTTGATTATAACTCTAATGGAGTTAGTAAGAAATTATAACTACTCGAAATGGTAAAATTTCTATGTCATGTCATGATCAAAGTCATGTATGATCGTGAGCACAAGAAGTGAAAACTCGTCCCATTGAATTTGCTTCATTCTCACTCCCCTAAGAGAATGTGGTAGCAATATGTAATAAGTCTGAAAGAAGAAAAAATTATTACCGTGAAGGTATCAATGGATGTGGATGTAGTAATAGACGAAATTATAATCGTCATCATTGTGGTAATGAGAATAATAAGGATTCTCAAAATAATCCTTCACTCTGTGAAAGTAATGTTTATCATCGATTTGACATGAGATTTTGTAAAGCACATATAAATGATTATGGTCCATTCATGATGTGAATGTGACAATATGTGATTTATTAATACATATTCATTTTTGGAAGAATATGAGTGTGCTAGTGGTATATACCACACTCACCTCTAGAAGGAGGTTTGAGAGGAAATAAGAAAATAATGTCATTATTATGGCATAAATGATCATTGGTCACGTACTTATTGTACGCCAAAATATTTTGGCATCGTGATTATTAAAATACAACGGTAATGCAAGAAACAAATGTTGCATATAATTTTATCATAACCATAATGGTATAACTTTCTCTTTAAAAAAGATATTCACTATGTGGATGTTGATGAATATGTGGTAGTACCAAATTAATTGAGAGCTTTAGACGGGCCGATTATTACTATTTTGGAGGAACAAAATTGATTATCAATAAGATATTATATTGTAGTAAGTCTCAAAGAAACTTATTTAGTTTCTAAAGTATTCGCGAAAGCGGTTGATTATATTGAGTAATATCTTCTATTACTACAACTTGCAGCGGGGTAATATGTATGTAAAAAGTTACCCGCTTTATTCTCCAGTTTATACTACACAAATAAAAGAATGCCACAATAAAGTGGATATGTATTGATATAAAAACCTATATCATAATAAACTTGGAGTTTATTGATAATTGCACACATCATGATGTAAACATGAGCTTTATCAATATTGATAATTTATTCAATTGGCATAATTAATTTAGCCATGTTAATTTAACTATGATGTGCAAAAATAAAAGAGAATTTACATGGGTAAATATTAAAGAACTAGAAAATTATATACGAATTCTCTTATGTTGTTCTCATTAATTAATAGATCAACTAAAATTGGGATTGAATCCCATGAATGCTGGAAATATCAAAGGTGAATATTGGCCCATTCACCTGCCATGTATACCACATAAGATGCATCTATGAGATAGTTACATGTGCGATTATTATTAACCCGCAACCTGGTATTTGTGAGGTAACTTGCTCAATAATTCAATTTGAAGCATAATTTCCAGATTTTCTATTCAAGATAATTTATCTTGATAAGTTGGTTTACACTACAACTAGCTTAGCAAGATAATTTATTGAGTGCCTCCACTTAATAGCTAAACTATTTCTTATGAGAACAAAGTTATCTATATCAGTTTGATATAGGTTATATACGAAAGTATATTACATTCTCCCCTCACAAATAGTTCACGGTCAGAAACCAAATAATTCCATCTTATTATTATTGACGTGCGGTGTATATTTTGATTAACACCATAACGCACAAAGATGGGTTCTTAAAGTTGAGGAAACAAGTTAGTTTTTCTAACATGAGGGGTAGACATGATAAACAGTTGAGAAAAAGTTACGTGGAATGAATTATCATGTGTACATCTAGATCCTCGAATAAAATAATATGAACTTGAAGTTCATAAAAGGATAATTCACCTGCAATATATTGCAATTCAAGTCAGACACATTTGCTGACCCAAAGAAAGTAACTATATTCTCATTCCAAATGCTCATATTAAGTCCTAGAAGGACAAAGTCTATGGTACGCTTAAAGCGTATAGACAAATCGATTTCAAATAAACTTCTTCATGAAGAAGATGAGCAAATGATCAAAATGGTCATAATAAAGGATTCAAGTGATCTAGAAGATCACATGAAATAATACTTCATAAAATCTCTAGAGAGGTTGAGCTACCTGAATATATGAATGGAGAGATTTCTATATTATGTCTATATGAAAATAAAGAGGTTGGAACCGATATAAAATATTCGTCGACAACATCTATGATAGCGCTAAGTATAAATGAGGTTCTTAAGTCCGTCGAATACAGACACAAAAATATTGGCTAAATGAAAGAGACACAATTCGAATAAAATTGGTTTCATACGAAAGACATATAGTTTTGGACCTGTAGTTCAAACACTTGAAAGTATAAAGTGAATGGTGTGTGCAATCACTTTCATGCATTTTATATTTCTAGCATGACATAAAAAACTTGATATGCATCTTATTAAAGTCTATTATATGACTTAACTTATACGATAATCCCTGAAGGATTTAAATTGCTTAAAGCATGTACAATTCTTGGTCCTGAAGTACTGCATCCTAAGTGTAATTTGTGCACATATGCATCTTGCTATAACTATAAGCATGATAATGTGATAGCGAGAATACCTCTATGGAGATATTGAAAAGGCTATTCCACGACATTATATGAAGACATTACATTTCTATCAAGAATGATAGTTTCAAGGTGCAACATATTCATTCAAGTTAATATGGCTGATTTGTTTATCAAATCTCTACCATCAATACTTTGAAGATGATGCATAAGATTGGAATGTGAAGAATCAAGAATGTGAATTGATGCTCTTATCAGAGAGAGTTAATACGCATTGTACTCTTATTCCCTTACAAGGGTTTGTCCCACTGGGTTTTCAAGGTTTTTAACGAGGCAACCAAAAAGCGTATTGTTAGATATGTGTACTCTTTTTCCTTCTCTAGAATCTTTTCCCATTGGGTTTTATTTTAGTTATGGTTTTAACGAGGCACATTATCTGTTGAATAGATATTCAAGGGGCAGTGTTATAAATAGTATTTTATTTATGGTGAATGTCTATATTTAGAGAGATCTTAGGGTTTGTTGCTTGGTGGCTAAGTCACTCTTCCCCTATAAATAAATGGGTTCTATTCTATTATAATTTATCTCAAATCAGTAGGAATTTTCTCTCCCTACTTTTCTCTGCAATATTCTTCTTCTTCTTTTATTATTTTATAACATCTTTTTTCTTTTTGGTTTCCATGGCATTTTTAATTAATATGGGAAAGTAAATAAATATCCATCGTACTTGTTCCCCAATTTGCAGAAACCTACTCACATTTTTGTTCGAATATCACATTTTGTTACCAATACCAATTTTAAGAAATATTGTATGTCATGTGTGTATGGGTCCAAATTTTACCGACCACGACCCATAACGAGTATGACAAACGACCAGGTAACTCTGAACCGACGTCCCGAGGGAGACGACCTTAAGGCGAAAGAAGAAACTATACGACCCTTGTAGAAGTGTAAACCCATTAGTGGACATTAAGAATATTCCGTCGAATATTCCTTGTATTAGATTTTCTTACAATTCCGTAGGGTTTCTCTCTAGTATATAAGGGGGGGGGGAGACCTCGTAAGGGGCATTGGATACTCTGGAAAGCTTACCAATCTTGAATAAAAAGGAACTTTGCAACTGTCTTCTCTTTACCTATTATTATTCTAGATATTATTATCTTCAGCTACGATTTACCCCTTCATCCTTGATTGATTTATTCAAAAAGGTTTTAACATCTTTTAAGTCAAACAATTTGGCGCCGTCTATGGGGATTTCTATAGCAGAAACCATAGTTCTCATCTAGATTCCTGAAAGTGATAATTACTTTTCTTCGAGCTTCGTATAAACCAACAATGGTGGGAAAGGAAACGAGGCTAAAGGCGGTAGCAGATGTCTCGAATAATCTCCTGAACTCCCTCAACGAAGCCGGTAGAGAAGACAATGAGAATGCAATACCAAGCATTACACCGGAGGGAGATATCCCACCTCTTCCACACGGGGATCTAACAATCTTATGCGAAAGGGAAACCTCAACATCTATGGAGGGAGAAGCCCCACCAACAGTCAAAAGGCTATTAGAAGAATGGTTAACGAGTGCTTTGAGCAACATGCTTGAGAAACCCACTCAAGGAGATGTCGAAGACGTGCCACCTACAGACATCGCAGTTGCCGCCGATGAGCCAAGCGCCACACGAACATGTAACACCCACATTGTTACTAATGCAAGTGACGATGCACTCATGGCCATTTTAAAGAGAATGGAAGATACGGAAAATGAGAACAAAACGCTCTGCGACCAAATGAAGGAACATCAGGAGAGGGTTGACAAAATACCGGGCGCTCCGAAGTTATTACCAAAACGCGATGTGGGCCGATTCATCGAACAACCATACATCGAAGGGACTGCTCCTCATCTTACTCCAAAGACCTTCAAGATGCCGTCATACTTGAAAATATATGATGGGACCACGGACCCAGAGGATCACTTAATCCATTATGTTACTGCAGTAAAGGACAATGATCTGTCAAAAGAACAGGTACCACATGTGCTGTTAAAGAAGTTCGGCGAGACTTTGATAGGGGGAGCATTGACATGGTACTCCCAGCTACCAGCGCGATTGATAT